AGCCTTAGAATAATCAACCAGTAGAAAGGAGCTCTGGTAGCGTAGTGGTTATGAATCGGGCTGCGAACCGCAAGGTCAGCAGTTCAAAACTACCAGCTGTTTCGCGGGAGAAATATGAGGCTTTCTGCTCCTGTAAAGATTTACAGCCTCGGAAACCCTGTACAGGGTCACTATGAGTCGGAACCGACTCCACGGCACATAACAACAACAACAACAGCAAATACAACAACAGCATTAGCCTGAGGAAAAAGTTCAGAAGGCAAGAAAAGTGGAGAAAGAAAGCAGGAAGAATGGAAAGGGGAAATATGCAGACAGGAAGATGGATCATTGTGGGGACTGCAATCCATGACATGAAACAAAATGTTTGTGAGTTGCTGAAGGGAAAACCGATCTGCTCCATAAACCTTCACTGAGTTCACAATACAACGCTTAAAAAAAGTCATGCAATTGCTTCTGCCTGGTTTGTCCTGGCAGCCGTCACCAGCATTGTAAAGCTGGGGCTTGCAATGAGAGGCAGACTGCAATTGTAGAAAAATTCTTAGGGAGACTTCCTCTTCTGATCTTACCACTCTTCCCCAGCCAAGCAAACTCTCTTCTTGTCTCCCTGTGCTGCGGTCAGTTTTGTTTTGTTTTGCTTGGGTATATGTTCACTAAGTGTGTAGGATGTTAAGACTTTAGCTCTCAGTGATGGGGAATCCTATGAGATTTTGGTTTGATTGCCTGGCTTCCATTTGAATCCTGGAAAATTTCCCCCCAAACAGCCAATGGAGTGACTTTCCCTCCCCATCAGACTCCACTTCCCTCGGAGTTTCCCTCCACTCTTGAGGGCTTGGTTCTCATCCTCCTTGTTCTCCTCAGCGTCACATGACAACAGCAAACATGCATTGTGTGCCAGGCCTGCGCTCGCTCCTTTAAGTCTCACTCAGTTGTAAAGATCCCCAGTTCCCCTCAGCTGCCCTTCTGGTGAGCAGTCAAAAGCCCACCTTCAATGGAGAGCTACTCGCTCACAAGCAGAGTGCACTGTGTTTGTTTAAACATACAACTTCTCAGAGGCTCTAAATTACGTGCATGTCTATCTGGCACACACAGACCTGCTTCCAGATATGGGGTGCAAAAAGAGCCCCAAAGTTAGGGTAGGAAGTAAAGCTGGATTTGTAGTTGTGGTGTGGATAAGTACTGGAGTGCTAACCACAAGATTGGTACTTCCAACCCACCAACCACTCCCTGGAAATTCCCTGGTGGTTGTGGTGGTGGTGGTTGTGGACCTTCAAGTCAGTTCTGACTCATAGTGACCCTGTATAGTGTTTCCAAGGCTGTAAATCTTTACAGGAGCAGAAAACCTCATCTTTTTCCTGTGGAGCAACTGGTAGATTTGAACTGTGGACCTTGCGGTTAGCAGCCCAGCTTGTAACCCACTAGGCTACCCGCACTCCTTTGGAAACCCTATACAGGATCGCTGTGTGTCAGGACTATCTTGACAACACTTCACAACAACGATGAGCTTGAACACCATGCTTCACCACTTTCTACAAGAACAGTATACATCCACTTCCAACTTCACCAATAACTTAGACACTGAGACAAAAGGCCAAAGCATCATCAAGTGGCCAATAATGTGAGCAATTTGCTCTCGGTCACAAAATAGTTCTCATTGGCAGTTTGGAAACTTGCAAAAATCTACCAACCATGATTTTGTAGCCATTGAAAAAAGTCTCCAGTTTTGCTTCTCGGTTATCAAAAATTCCCCAGAAGACCCCAGGATTTTAGAATGGCAAGTGAGCCTATCACAAAAGCTACACACATCAGTGTTTCAGCAGGGTATTTAACCTCAAACCCTTGAGACGACTTCATTAAACTAATCCATTTATAAATATTGCAAGCTGTACAGAGTAGAGTCAGAACTGCTCCCCACAGAGAAACTCAGGGTCAACTGATGCTGGCCCACATCAAAAAGAACTTAGGAAAATAAGGATGCAAGAGAAAGGGGCTTTTCCTTGTGTGTTAGTACAACCCAATCCCTTCAGAGAAACTACACAAAAGATAGGCCAAAAGGGGGAAGGGTAATTAAAATTCATGAGCAATGCATACAAGTATTAATGACTTTATACAGAATTGTGATCCAGTCATCTTGACAATAAAGGGAAAATGGTTTATGTTGGGCATAATAAGAGACAGGAAAAAGAAAACTTCAGCATGATGACATGCTTTCATATCCTGAATGCCTCGAACCATTATTTCACCTTGGGTTGGGTTTATAGAAAGTAGAATCAATCCTACCTGGACCCTACACAGCCACCATTTATTTTATAACTGAATTTCACATAGTAAAGAATTTCACCGGGTAAAAGAAAGATACCTGCTCTAATATAGTATTTAAACTAAACAAGAAATTTGAACCCAAGAGTCATGTTACTCCCTTGATAGCAATGGTGTGTGCACTTGATTTACATTATCAGTTTCCACCAGTAAAGAAGAAAGCCTCAAGGAAGGGATCTTGTGATGCTAGCAGACACTTGCAAGGAAGACAAGCTGGTCAGTGCTCTGAGTTTTAATCAAAGGCAACAAAATGAGTTTTTCTCAATCACCAGAAAATGTGGTACATACGTACAATGGAATACTCTCAATCATAAAGACCTATGGCATTCTGATGTCTCCTACAATGTGGAGGAACCTTAAAAGCGTATGCTGAGAAAAAGAAGTCAGTGACGAAAGGACAAATATGATTCTACATATATGAATTCTTCATACAAATATGAAGTATTTAAAATTGGAAAATGCAAAAGCATAAAGCCCAAGTTGATTAGTGGTGACCAGGGCAGGCAGGGAAAAGGCAAAGAGGCTAAAGGGAGTCTTACTCAGGGTGACGGGATAACGTGGGAGCAGACAAGGGTAATGTTTGAACAACGTGTACATGTGGAAACTGCTGGATGTCGAATGTTTTGTTACAGATATGTTTAACACAATAAATTTTTTTGTTTTTAATTTTAAAACAAACAACCAGAAGTTTCACACAAATGGCAAGTGCCAACCCAGCAATGATGTCAGGCACTGTCAGTGTGTTCTTGGTAAGGACAATAACCAGACACTACACACTATGTGTGTGGTAGGGGAGCTCTTACTCAAGGCAGTTTAAATAAATTTAAAGGAACCTACCTTAAAGTAAACATAATGCAAAGAAAACAACAGCACATGAATCCCATGTCTTCACACCATTAGAGAAGTGTGACTCCCATGTCTTCACACCATTAGAGACATGTGAATCCCATGCCTTCACACCATTGGACAAGTGTGAGTCCCATGTATTCACCCCATTAGAGAAGTGTGAATCCCATGACTTCATACCGCTAGAGAAGTTGAATCCCATGACTTCACACCACTACAGAAGTGTGAATCCCAAGTCTTCACACGGCTACAGAAGTGTGAATCCCATGTCTTCACATCACTAAAGAAATATGAATCCCATGTCTTCACACCATTGGAGAAGTAGTCTCAGCTAGCTCTGGTGAACCCTGGGGTCAAAGGGCAGGGCACAGAGCCAGGTCTATCCTACAAATGCAACCAGACTCTTCCCAGTAAAGACTTTAGCTACCTTCTTACAGGAGGGAGTAAGTTGGCCAAGTGGCAAAAGCATGACAACTTACTATCTTAAATAAGAAATCTCATTTTCTTTTGTCTGAATTGTCTATTTCATCTAATCTCTTAATTATGTTTTTGTCACTTGGCCATTTTTCTCCCTCCTATAAGAATGGCATGGAGTGTGTCTGACCTCCTCAAACTTCACAAACCGGGAGAAGACTCACCACCAGCATTAGCCCAAGGCCTATTCCTGTGAGGCAGAGGTCACACATACCTCCACCCTGCAACCTCGTCACCAAATCTGACACCAAACACCCCGACTATGGCACTCTACATCTCTGCTGGGTTTGGTCATCCATTACAAGGGCCTTACAGAACTTACAGATCACACTCCTAATTAGGGGGCTTTATTAGGCAAGTTAAAAGGTTACAATTCAGAGTCAGGAATGCTTTGATGTCTTTGATCAAGACAGCTCTCTCTCAGCTGTGAACGTAAGGACACCTCACTCTGGTCCTTAGCCTCTCAGCCAAGTGGCCCCTTGGCCTCTGCCATCCTTGGGCAATGTTACAAAGCTCTTCTAACTCTGCTGACACACACCCAGAAGGCACATCCCTCTGCCAGTAAGCCTCAGCAAACCTAGCTCCCTAGGCAGAGGCTGCTGCCTGAAGGCCCTCAGAGTTCTGGGTCCGTGGGTCAGGAAGGCCACTGCTCCGTCTCATTCTCTGGTGCTGCTGATTTTGCTGTCACTGTGTGCCTCCCACATCTCTACTTTCCTGGAGTCCCCAGCACTTCAGCGCAAGGATCCTGGGGACCAGAGGACGGACGCGCTCTTCTTTCTTTCCAGTTCTGAGACTGCTCATTTTAAACTTAGACCGATGGCAAAACTGACCAATCCCCACGTTATGGTCCCATACACATTACTCACATGGTCTCCTATCAGAGGTGCCATGTGCCCTGTTTACACTATTAGCAAGCTACCCAACCTCCTTGGGGGTGGGAGGGACAAATACATCACATTTGCATAGTGCAGTTCAGTCATTTTCAGGTAGCGTTTTTACATTGAAGACAGTTATCTTCCACTTGATACCAACCCAGTTGATTTACATGAAAATATACGGAATGTGGTGGTGCTGTAGGATAAGCACTGGACTGCGAACCACAAGGTCAGCAGTTCAAGTCCACCAGTCCCTCCACAGGAGAAAGATGCTTTCTGCTGCTCCAGCGAAGATTTACAGTCTCACTATGAATGGGAACCAACTCGATGGTATTAACAGCCACCAGCACCCAATCATTTCAGGGGAGTTCGAAGAGCCACATCAAGTGATTCACAACACTGCCCCTCACCACCCAAGCACGTTCTTCACAAGAGTTTGAGACAATAAATACTCTACAGAGAAGACACCGGAAGACCACATGAGCTCACCTTCGTCACTTACAGTCTGCTGCTTCACAACTGACATTGGGGGTCTTGCTAGGGGCTTATTTAGTGGGTGGCGCCAACTCTTACCACTTTTGGTATCTTCTTCTAGTTTCTGTTTACAGAAATAAAAATAGGGGGAGAGGGGAAATAACCCATAGTTAGTACATGTTTTAAAATATATACATATATACAGACACACACACACACACACACACACACACAGAGTGAATGGTAATTTATGATTACTTAATTGTTATGAACTCTTGGGACTTGTTTGCCTCTTGGAGAATCAGTATGTATGTATGTATGTATGTATGTATGTATAAATAACTTTAAAAATAAAAGACAACAGGTGCCCATTCTACCAGTAATTTTACCAAGAAGTCAGCTAACTTCCTTCTACTTCAGATGAAAGCAGTAGCACAGGGCAGGCTTGTCAACCATGCACAGATTCAGTAGATGACCAGTTTCCCAGCATCCTTTAATCAGAATGCAGGACGGACCTCCGTAGTCACAGACACAGAGGACGTGGCCCTTTGTCAACTCTGTGGTGCTCACATATGAATGTTTTGAGGTGTTTCTACTTTTTCTCTTCACAGAGAACGCAAGCCCACCAGCAGAGGCTGTACACATCCTTCCATTCAAAGATCACATGGCCCTTCTAACAGGAACCACTATAATTCTGTTACAAGGGAGGCACACACACTACCAGTATACACGTTGTATTATACGTAACACCAGCAAACACTGGTCAAAATGATACAAAAATGAAAAGGGTCTGAGGTTCCCTACAGGGGTCATGGTCTGCAACCTTAGGGTGAGCAAAGGGACCCTGTCTGCTGTTTCCAAGGAGGAGCATGGCACCGCCTGGCCATCTGCAGCAGCACCCCCTTACCTGGGCTGCCCACCTCTTTGATGCATGAAATGATGAAGAGTAAAGGCATGCCTGTATAATCCTTCTAACCTGAGAGCAAGCAAATGCAAAAGACGTCTTTGCTCCATTCTAGTTTAAAGAAGGCCACCAAACAAAATCGAAGCAGGCTTATGACTCATCTGCCATTCTACAAAGAATTCTAATATCTGCTGAGGCTTGTTTAGTTAGGTGTGAATTCTGTTTACTAGTCTGTGAACACTACCTTCAACCTTCGAGCCAACTCTTCAAATGAACCGGGCCATGTTTTCCTGAGTTTTTGATAAGCATTTACCTCAGAGCTAGGGGTAATGTGCAGTCATGAATACGTTGATCAGAGTTACTGGACCCAATGAAGAGAGTATCTACCTATTTGAGCTCTCATTCTAAGACTCCTAGGGTATCCACAAGACTGTCCTACGTAACCCCCACTGCCATTCTTGGGTCTGAAAAGGTGTGCTGAGATAATGAGCAGGAATCCCAAGAAAGGGGCTGTCCAGAAGTTAGGCCACTTTCTGGACCCACACAGGTGGGCTCTTCCTAGCCATCCATGGGAATTCACAGAACAAAGCTGCATAGACTAAAAGGAGTCAATGAGTTCTGAGGATCATCACACATCGTCCTCACACCTGACCCAGGCATAGTCTCATGGCTGCAAGGGCAGTTTAAGGTGTGTGTGTGGGGAGGGGGGGAATCATCTAATATTAAATTATACCAGGACATCCAAGAAATGGGGAGGCCCTTTCCAAAGAGTCAGAAGGGGAAGTAGGCAATCAAGAGAGGTTTTGAAGAACTGGATGATGTTCAGCTACCGTTATTGAACATTTCCATCAGAGATTCTAGAACAGAATCATGATCAAAAGGAGGCAAATGTAGAACAGAATTTTAAATTTCCATAGACACTGGACTTTCTGGAACCATGCAAACTGAATGAACCCCTGAAACCACTGCCCTGAGAGAAGCTTTAAATCTAAACCAAAAATATCCCCAGAAGCTTCCTGAAAGCACACAGTCGTTTAGAGCTTGACTACTGAAGCATGTTGGCCTTGAACACGGGACTCTTCTGAGATCTATCTACCTGGGATCACATGAACAACTCATGTCAATGGGGAAAGCGGAATTCAGGACCAAAGCCTGGGGATGGCTGGATAATCAATGTCACTGAATTAGAGACACTGATGAAATGGTGGATATTTCCAACAACAAAATAAATTGTATATATATATGTATGTATGTATATATGTTTGTGTTTTTTTTTTTCTTTTTTTAAAGAAGGGTCTTGACTAGGAAAGGTAAAAGGCCTATTTGTGGACAAAGACAGCCCAGGAAGGGTCAGCCTGGCATTAGGACTGAGCCCCATGAGGACACAGTGGCCAGGTGAGGCCTAATGCATAAATAGAGGCCCTGGAAAGCCTGTTGAAAGCAGGTCAGAATTCTGTTCTACATTCCCCCCTTTTGGTCATGACTCATCCTGCATGGGGACAGGTCTGCTCTATATCTGCCTGCATCCATGTCAGCATCCTTGATGTGATACTACCCCATGGTTTGGCAATAAGGTATGAGCCAGGGGAAAGTGGATAAAGGGTACATGGAATGTCTCTGCACCATTTCTTATAATTGCCTGTGAATTTAAAAAGGTTAGCTTTCCAAACTTCTAAAAAAGCAGAAAACCTAAACCTGGAATTCCATGCTCTCTGAATTATCACCCTGTGAACAAGAGTTCGCAGGAAGCTTACCTCCCAGGTGATCTAAGGGAAGATGGGAAAAGTTCTTCATTTCTGCCCTGAAACAAGAGCTCAGTGCACATTATGCTGCTTTTGGAAAACCCTCTCACCACACCAGGAATTCAACAACAAGCAAAGTTGCCACATACACAGGGGACTTTGAAGCCACTTCTCTCTCCACTGTGGATGGTTGGGATCTCGCCGGGTTCCAGACCATTCATCTGGCTCTCCTCGTCGCTGTCCTCTTCCTCTGTCCACATGCCATTCGTATCCGACAGGGAGGAGCATGACTCGGGCGACTTGGGCCATGCAGGCCTGGCAAAGTTTGCTCCCTTGGACGCCACACGGACACTCGTTACCATGACAGTATAACGAGCCTTCTTGGTGATGGGAAGCAGAGCGGTGGCACAGGGGGGCTTCTCCCTCTTGGTTTTCACTCTCTGCATTACAGATGTGCGTGAGCAACTGTGTGCTGAGGAGTCGAACAAGACAGAGTGTCAACAGGTCTTCCATTGAATTATAACTGCAGAGAATTGTAAACTACTCCCAACTGAGTCTCAGTCTTCCAACCGCCCCCCTAAACTTCCACAGATATGAGTCTGAAAGGTCACACCAAAGCACCATGAACTATGGATGAAAGAAAAATCGTACAAGAGATCAAAATGAAGTTGTGCTATAGAGTACTGCCGTAAGCCAGGGCAACACCAGCAATCATCCAAGGCAAGGGCAATTTGAATTCTTTCCAAACCTAAGGGGGATGGACCAATCCATGGTGCTATGAGGTGCTACTGATGAACCATGCCCGCTGAAAAGACACACGAAGGTCGTGCAGATGCAATAACCAGGACTCGCTGGGCTAACCCTGCATCACACACTGGCAGTATGGACCAGGAGAAGAACATCATAGCTCTGGAATCGCCTGTCCAGTTCTATTCATCCTACCCCCATCTCACACACATACATGCACACATATGCATACACATGCAAACACACAGGGTTGCACAAGCGCATGTTAAGTGTCATTTCTATTCCTCGAATACTGTCAGATGCTTAATCCAGCCAAGTCTGCTTTGGGCTCAAGCATTAGCTTTTAAATTAAGTACTTTGCTAGCTCTCGAAAGCTGGAGGTCAAAATACAAGTGCGGGAACTAATGAAATTGGATCCCCTGAGTCCAACTACCCAGCAATTCATAAAGAGATTAATTAAACCAAGTATGGAAGTGATCAGAAGGGACTAAAAAGAACTGTCCACAAGTACTGTACAAAAGAAGGAGCCCTAGTGGCATTGTGGAGTAAGCACTGAGCTGCTAACCACATTATTAGTGGTTTAAGTCCAGCAGTCCTCCATGGGAGGAAGATACGGCTATCTGCTCCTGTAGAGATTTATAGTCTCAGAAACCTTAGGAGCAGTTCTACTGTGTCCTGTAAGACCTCTAGGAGTTGGAAATGACTCAACTGTACAAACACAGGAGCCCCGGAAACACACTGTTAAGGGCTCCGATGTTGATCAAGAGGTCACCACTTCAAACCCACTAGCTGCTCCACAGGAGAAAGATGAAGCAGTCTGCAGCCATGGAAACACTATGGGCAATTCTAATCCGTCCTTTAGGGTCACTGTGTGTCAGAATCAACTTGACAGCACTAGTTTTTAGGGGTTCTTTTTGGGGATTGTACAACTGCCTACTTTGCACTGTCTAGAATTCCTTTCCCTACCTTCTCTGTCTCGCCAACATCTATTACTCAATTCAGAATATCAGCTACGAAAAGAGCTCTTTTCAGTTCAGCCTCCTGTCTGTTTGGGGTCTTTCTTAGGTGTTTCAGCAACGCCCTATACTGGTGGTGGTACTACAGCTACACCGGATTTTAACTGTCTTTATCCACCTCACTCTGCACCTAAGGTCTACAATATCAGTTTGCTGGGCAAACAAAAGGCAGTGAGGTTGACAAGAGGCAAAAGACTCGAGTAGGACATATCTTCACTGAAAAGATGAAGAAGAAGGTAGGGAGAAGAATCTATGACTTTTTTAAAAGGTCACTATGATTCCTACGTGACAGGCTAGAGTAGATGCTGAAAAACAAGAAGGTAGCAATGTTGGCAATAATGCAGGTAAGAGATTAGGGGGCTTAAACAGGAGTGGAAGCACTGGAGGTGGTTGCATTTGGGTATGGCCCCAAGACAGAAGGATTTGCTAATGTACTAGAAGAGACAACAGCAGGCATTTCCAATCGCCTCATTTAGGAAGAGAAGAAAAGCTTCCACAAAATTCAAAGAGGCAGTGCCTTAAAGCCATCTCTGAGATATCTGCTAGAAAACAACAGTATTGGAGACTCAGAAGTGATGGGCTGGAGACTAAAGAAGCAGCCCCTCACTAAAATAACTTTTCATTGACCTTGTTCTTTCTTAAAACTGTAATCATTTATTTTCTTCTGAAAATTACGTTGATAGCTAAGAATCTGCAGAGAACGATCTCTGATTGGGTTTCTCTGTTCCAAGTAGGTTTAAGAGAAGCTTTTCAGAAATGTATGGCATATTGTAAATTGAATTGCACTAAACAAATCTTGTCTTTTTGTTGTTGTTGTTGTTGTTTTAATTTTTCTTCATTTCAGAATCTCTGTTTTATTAAAGGAAGCAGATGCTTCTGGCCCTTGGTCTCCAGGTTGCTGCCCTGGGACAGCAGTTCTGACTGTGGACAACTCTCTCGGCCTCTTACTCCGTATCTGTCCATCGCTTACTGGTTAAGACAACTGGAGTCCTGATACAGTGCTGCAGGATCAGCACTGGACTACAAACCACAGGGTCGGTGGTTCCAACCCACCAGCCACTCCTTAGAAACCCTTTACAAGGTTGCTACAAGCTGGAATTGACTCAACGGCACACAACAACAACAACAAATCTCTTGTTATTGTTACAAGTTGTTGTTAAGAGCTGTTGAGTCGGTTCCAACTCATAGCGATCTTATATAGGGTTTCTGAGAAGCAGCTGGTAGATTTGAACTGCCAAACTTGAGGTCAAGTGCTTATCCTTCAGTGCCACACCGGGTCTCCACAGAGCCATCTCTTACTGGACAGTAACTTCGGGCATCAAGTCATCATTCGCTTATGTGAGCAGTATAGACAGCTGCTGCCTCACCTGAGACTTTGACGTTATATGCCAAGTTCGACTCCAGCTTCACCCTCTTAGCAGAGGTCACCACCTGGGAAGGTGCTCTTTTTGGACCGCTGACCACATTCACCGACGAGCCCGCCATTTCAGTGACCTTGAGGTTCTCTGTGGCTGGGGTGGGGGTGGGTAATTCCATGCTACCAGCTATGGCAAGTTCTTGCTCATCCTCTTCAGTCTTGGGTCTTTTAAGGAGACCCTGAGGGCACTGGAGACTAGGAACAAGAGAATCTGCAGTCAGGGCAGGTGGTCTGCGACGGACGAGATGAAACATGCACCAGTATCAATGCTATTCTCGCTAACTTCGGAAGAGACGATGATGTCATCGCTTTGCAGATAGCCTTCACAACTGATACAATACAAACAAGTTACAACAAGTATGATGCAAACCACTGAAAACAACTGCAGAATTAAGGCCATTACTACAATTTTATAAATCAACAAGAAGTCAACAGTAAAAATAAGGTGAACAACGATACCATGGGAAGAAACGAAAATGAGTCAATTATTCGTAATTTGGACCATTAAAAACAAAAAGGAAAAGAGAAATCAGGAGAGCCCATAAAACCAGGGACTGAACCAAAGAAAAGCAGCTGGCAGCCCTGTTCAAATCGCCAGCCAAAGAATAACTGTACATATTCAACAGTCAAAATCAACTTGCTATTTTCACAGTGGGCATCATTTTTATTTTCTCCTACCTTTGTATTTTCTAGCCAGCCATTTCACAGCTCTTTTTTCATAGGTATAGCTATGTACGTGGTACATACCAAATATTTTCATGTAGGCACAATTACAAAACAAACCAAACAACCATGTGCTCAGTATCCAAAACACATATAAACAGACAATAAGAAACACCAGAACACTGAGGAAGTCAGAGAGGGCAGAGGTCATAGAAAAAGAAGCCGGGTGGCATTGTAAGATAAGCACTGGATCACAAGGTCAGTTTGAACCACAAGGTCGGCGGTTCAAACTCACCAACCACGCCTCAGAAACCCTCTACAGGGCAATGTGAGTCAGAACTAAGTTGATGGCACCTAACACCACCACTCTTTATGGTGGCCCTGTATGGTAAGTGCTGGACACTAATCACAGGGTCATGGTGCAAACCCAACCAACAGCTGCTCCTGAGAAACCCTATACAGGGTTGCTATGAGTCAAACTAACTCAAAGGCACTTACCAACAGCAACAATCTTTATAGAAGCAGACTGCCACCTCTTTCTCCCACCGAGCGTTCAGACAGATGACTACGTTTCATTCGGCAGCTGAGCACTTCACCATCGTGCCACCAGGATAGGTGAAGTGTGTTGGCTGACATCTCTTTATTTCAGTGGATCACGCTCTCTAGTAAATGTCCCTATGAAGAGTATTCCTTCAGGGAATTCGGCAAGCGGTGTGGAGGCGCCACAAGGCTGAGCATGTTCATTCTAGCTTGGCGAGTACTGCTATCAGTCTGTTGATTGCTTTAATTTACTGAAAGGCCATCTCCAATCTGCTCATTGTCACAGATCTATGTTCTCTGTCAATCCAGAAGAGTGTGGGTAGTTTCGAGGAGACTAGTCAGAGCATTGTGAATTGTGTACATCAAAGACACTGCTTAAAGCCATTTACCCTTTGAGCTCTTTCTAATGCGATCCATAGTGAGAGGTAGATGTCAGGGGAGAGACGACATATGTACACACGTACACACATCATGGGTTGGCACTTATCTTTATTACATGGGATGTACGAGGTTATTATTTTGTTGTTGTTAAGTGCCATCGAGTTGGTTCCTACTCATAGCGCCCCTGTGCAGGGTTTCTGAGGACTGGTGGGTTTCAAGTGCCGACCCTACGGTCGCAGTCCAGTGCTTATCCTACAGCACTACACCAGGAGTCTACTGTTTACGACTCCATTTTGCGTTCTAATTTCAAGACGCCAGTCTGCCCCACCAAACTGATTTGAAAACTAACTCTAAACTAAACAAACATCACTGATGTCAACTCTAGGGCAAAGTAGGGATAGTTGAGCTTTTCATTCTGCTAACTAATTCTGTCCTTCAGAAACTGTTCCTCAGTGAAAAGCTCTTACAAACTGTGGCATTGTGACCAGGTTCTGACAGATGCTTCGTTACACTACTCTCAAATACCAGAAAATTCATGTCAGTAGGGAAAAGCGTCAGAAAATAAGCATTCACATGCAGCAAAGGTTTAGAATCAGTGTCGCCAAGAGCAAGAAAACAGAAACAAGCTATAGGCCCACGGACGTACAGGGGACAGGGTGAGTATGCACAGGCATTAACATCACGTCATTACATGACGACGCACTCGCAGATCTGGCCATCTAATTGTTAATGAGCATGGCCCCTCATTTGGAAGGTGCATAATGTGACATAATATACTAATACAGAAAATACATACAGAAAGGATATATACAAAATGCAAACTCTGGTTATCTTTGGATGATTTGCAATGCTTCATTATTCTCTTCCTTATAGTACACATTTTCTCCAAAGAGCAAATACTATTATTTTTATAATCACAAAGAAAAACAAGGAATAATACTGGAGAGGGAAAATATGTAATATTAACTGGAAAACAGAAGAACTGGAAAGAAAAGAGCAGTTGAGGACTGAGGAACATAAGGTGTGCCCCATCCAATGGGTGTTTAACCTTTTGTGACCCATGGGACACCTAGTGCCCACCAACATTTTTCGGTCTCTGGAGTTTAGTGGGAAGCTCCTATCCCACTTTGAGTTCACGCTGCCATTTATTGGAGGTCTGTCCTCAGAACCCCTGTACAGGGTTACTACAAGTCTAACTGACTCAACAGCACTTAACAACAACATTGTTGAATCTAACTGCATGAATCTGAAGAAATAGGCCTCATTCCACCAACCCAAGCACCAGAGACCCCTTGGGGACATAAATGTCCCACTGATTTTATCAAATTCATATTACTTCAAAAAAGACTATTTTCCCCCCATTCTAGTCAAAATGCCTTCCATTATAAAAAACATGTGGTTTCAACAAAAAATTCAAAGTACGGAATAAGCTGGTCTTAAAAGAGTTTGAGGCAGCAAAATGCCCACGATCACATGGGCACCGGGACCAGAGACACCATGTGTCTACTTTGCATGGACGCTGCGTAAAAGAGAAAAATCAAGTGTACAAAATATGGTAAAATATGGGCATTCGGATAAGAAAGTTAATATATCTTAGATGTATGCCAAATGAGATGAGAAGCACTCACGTCAGAAAGAACGTCAGCAGGAGAATGAAAACAATGGAAATCAAGTTACTGAAGTTGACAGAAATATGGAGCCGAATGGTGAGAACCAATATGAATTTACAAATACATCAGAGTAAAGGGTCTAAAGGAGTTCCAGTATTATTCTATCTGCCTAATATAATGACTTCAGAAATACCCCATTCTCAAACACAATACACAGCTCCTTCCTGGGGCCGCTGATCATTTATCTCAAGAACTGAAAAGAGTTTGCCTTAAACTTTCCATAAAACATTAAGGAAACCTAAATGGGGAAAAGCAAATGGGATGGGATGGCTTTGGGAATCCCATTCAATCCGGATTGTTTCTGCACAGGTGCAGCCCGATGCTGGTGGAGGGAGGGGCTGCGTAGGGGCCAGTACCTCTTGGATGCTTTTCTGTCTTTCTTTTTCCTCTGAAGCCACGCCTTGACTTCCGGTGTGGATTCCGGAGTAGGCTTTGTGTGATCGATGGTATAGATATCCTTTCCTTGCTTCCAAAGCTGGTATCTGTCCGGCTGAAACTTCTTCACAAAGACATCCATAGAAATTTTCACCATGTCCTTCCTGCAGGTGCACTGAAACACAAAAGGGTTCAGGTGTGTTAAGCAATTCAGTAGCTTCACAGAAACCACACCTAAGTCAATTCTTGGATGGACCAGACGTGAATATTTACTCTCTGTGTAGCTGAGGATAATGTTTTACATTTTTCAGACATTTTCTGGGTGACCAGCCCAATTTATTTTGAATGGAGGTGGTAATCTACATATTCACATTCATCTGAGAAAAAGGCAGGTGAAAACAGGCTTTATAAGAGTCCAGGGGCACCACAACTAAAAGGGAGACATATACATCTGAAAGGATGCTATAGAAGGATGACCCTCCCAACCCGAGGACCTATCAGTGAGCTGAAATCTGAGAGGTCTGTTAGGCTGAAAACCTGGGTGGGCAAGGTACAAAAGTAGCCAGTGAGCATGTAACTAGGGTACTTTTATCAATGGAAGGAGATGATGTTTCTCCAAGAAAGATGTTAATCACATTCATATGTATCAACAAACACACAATTGCAAGGTAGCCAAAAACTAATTCCGGAGCTAAAGAATAGTCTTGTCTACATCATGTCATGTATAATACCCCATTCATCATCATCACCACCACCAACAACAACAACAACAACAACGACACAATTCTATCAATGGCGCTTAGGTCAATATTTCAAAGCCAAGGTTATTTCTAATCCATTGGGACCTTGAGTCTTATAAACCACTAGTTATCAGTCCTTTACATGAAGGTTCCCTACAAGGACTTCACATGTGTTTAAATTAAGTAAAGGCCAACATGCTCTGCACTGGGGCAGTCATCATTCAACATACGTTATGAAACTAGTCTCAAAGACCGAGCTGGTATGGCTTGACGATCAAACACCCCTGCTCACAGACTGGGTGGCTGAATAGCCTTGATATAATTATCATCTCCAGGCAAATGAATTCCACAGTCTTAGCAATTACCAGCCCCAGACTCCATAGAGTCTAAGGTTGGCAGGCATTATGATCTGAAAGTTCACCTTGCACTCGGCATGCCTAACCCGGCGGCAGCTTCACATTCAGCTGCAGACAGACATTCTGGCGGTATCAATGATGCCACTGTTCGTCCATATTCCTAAATTCACAGTCGACATTTCCTGATACTTCCACCCCTAGAAATCCAATCTGTCTCCATCTGCAGTCAAGTCTTCCTCTCAAATGCCTCCTGCATCATTTCCTCCTGCCAAGCATCCTTCCGGCTTCTGTGTCAGACCTTGAATTGTAGAGTAACAAGTCTAGCTAATTTCCCAGTCTGCAGTCTCTCCTAACATCAATCCATCTATATGGCTGCTACTTTAATCTCCCTCAAATACCTTGATATCTTTCACTTTTTAAGTTCAGTAAGGTTTAATGACACTGCTCTGCCTTTACAATACAATCTGAATTCCCAAGCCTGGAACTCAAGGGCTCTGATATTTTACTGCACCGGTGAGGTTTCCAGATTTCTCTATCACTGTAGGTCAATAAACATCTGTATTCCTCCTCAACCCAAGGAGCCCAGTCCCTAGAGTCCAAATATAATCCGTGCTTGTCCATGTCAGCAATCCATTGCCATCGAGTCGAGTCCAACTCACAGGGACCCTACATAGGATTTCTGAGACTGTAAATCTTTACAAAAACAGACAGCCTCATCTTTCTCCTGTGGAGCAACTGGTGGGTTTGAACTTCCCAACTTGTGCAACCCAATGCTTAGCTCACAGTTCCACCAGGGTTCTTTAATTCTGCAAAAACAGGGATCAATCGTCTTTTCATGAATCTTACTCATTCTCAGTTTAGAAATGGTCCGCTTCTTTGGCAGGGGAGATTTCGGTTGTTAATGGGCCCGTCCCCGTCTCCACACAACAAGATATACCACTTAACTGACTGCAGACATAGAGTCATCAAACACTCAACATAACGCAAAGGCCAACATCACAGTCCAAACCTTCAGCGACACACAGAAAACCTGCTCTTGTGTGTGCCGTCAAGTCAGCTCCAACCCATAGCAACCCTGTATACAGTTTCCAAGAGCAGCTGGTGGGTTTGAACTGCCGACCTTACGGTTAACCGTTCAGTGCATTGTCTACATTCCTACAGTCACACCAGGGCTCTCATTAGTACTAATAAACAACAACAACTGCCGAAACCCCTGTGGTATTTAAATGAGATCAGTTAGAATGCACTACAGAAATTGTTGTTGTTGTTAATGCCATAAAGTCTGTCCTGACTCATATGGACCCTGTATAGGGTTTCTGAGGAGTGCCTGGTGAGCTTGAACTGCCGACCTTGTGGTTCAAACTGACCCTGTAATCCAGAGCATTAAACCCAACGAGCCACACCAGAAGTCCACAGAAATAGAAGGCAAGCGAAATTAGAAAGTCCCATCCAGTAAATTTTTCAAATGCAGACTAAATATTGGGACTAAGAACAATAAACAATTGTACGTAATACTTTTCAAGCAAACTTTTTCATATGAAATCAAAACAGTAGGAACAGTAATTCTAGCTGCTCATTTAAAGAACATACACATCAGTCAAAACCATTAAGTCCCAAGGTAAACAAAAGGTTGTCAGAGCCAGTTTTCATTTAATTCTCACAGATTTCACTACTTTAAGAAATATTACATATGGCACTGTAGGCTCAGCACTGGACTGCTAAACAAAAAGTCGGAGGTTCAAACCCTGGAAACCCTATACAGGGTCACTATGAGTCAGAACCAACTCTACAGCACTTAAGATGTATCACATCGAATCACAGTTATTTGCTCATTTTTGTCCCAAGAAGTCAAATCAAATTAGCAACTGGATTTAAAGATGAAGATGACTTTAAAAATTAGCACCTATCTGAGACCAAAAAAAATGTGAAGTCACTTGGCAGGTGGAATGATAAAATGTATAGCCACAGTATATAACTAATAAGTGAGAGGCTAATATTGAGCACAAGACCTAGAAATTGAAGCATCAACTTAACATACATCCTTTCTGACATACAGGATGGTTAATTAAGAAATGATTGTTGTGCAAATGTCTAACAGAGATACTTTTGAAAGTATGCAAAAATGTGTGAAGATATTCTGCTTTTCAGTCAATTTATAAACATTAAATGATAACTAAGAAAAAATAAAGAGAAAAAAAGGCCTTAAAATATTCTGAAAACCAGAGTAGCCCCTTGAACTGTGGCAGAAATCTTGTCTTCTATGTAGGAGGGCCAATGCACCCTCAAGACCAGACACCCTCCCACCCCCTCACCCCCATCTACCAGTGGACACCTCTGTGTGGCCGTCATGCTGAACAAAAGTCGGGCTACAAGAAACCAGGAAGAATGGACTGGCAATCCATGTCCAAAAACCAACCAGTGAAACCCTATCACAATAGTCTAATCTGCAGCCAATCAAGAGGATGGCACCGCATCAGGCAGAATTTTACTCTATTGTGCAAGGGGTCACCGTGAGTAAGCAGGCAACAGGGCTGTTGTTAACAACAGCCACCTGGGTATACCCAGGGTGGAGAGATGGGTTGTCAGAAGTTACTGGAGACTGGCTCATGGAGGATTAAGTCAGTAATCAAGATTGCTGTTGTCAGCTGCCATCATTGCAACGGTGCCGAGTCATAGTGACCCCACCTGAGCAGAGGAGGCACTGCTCTGAAGGCTTCCTAGGCTGTGGTCATTAGGAAGCAGGTTTCTAAGTCTGTCTTCCAAACATGCCTCTGGGTGGATTCAAACCACCAACCTTTTGGTGCGCAGTCAAGCGCTTAACTGTTGTGCCATCACATGCTTCCTTTTACCAACTACCTGGAAACAATCACATCACAAGTTTTCCTTGCAGCTGGAATGCACCTGAGAGCAACCAGCATGCATACCAGAGGTCGGCGGCAATATTGCTGATTTTTATGCATGATACCAAGTCAAATTGAGACAGTCTGTCCAGTAGTCTAACTAACAAGTTCCCAAAATACATTTCCTCTATTCCTCCTCTAATAGGTTCACATTAATTTCTTCTGGGTATTTTTTTTTTTCCAGACTTCAGCATGCTAGGATATGTCTCCCTTATAAAGTGAGGCAATTATAAAGCAATTTAAGGTATGGGACGAGAAACTCGATCTTTCTGACCCATGGGGACACTGTTCAGACAGACAAAGAAAAACTATGAGAAAGGAAGGGGAATGGATTCAAACAGTTTGCTCTAGGGGTCCCCATAAGATTCTGTCCAAATTACCTTCAGAATTTCTACTTCTCAACACTCAGCTGAGTATCTGACAGAAAGGCTGTGGACCTGCAGAGGCACGGATATTAAACAACACGCTCTTGCTGTGCCGTGGAAACCACAGCATGAAATTCAACTTCTTAGAGTCTTCTTGATGCTGTTACTGTGTGCTGTTGAGCTGGTTCTGTCTCATAGCGGCCCTGGATAGGGTCTCTGAGGCTGTAAATCTTTATGGGAACAGACTGCCACGTCTTTGTCCCTTGGAACAGATGGTGGGCTCGAACTTGCAGTGAGCAGTCAAGCTTTTAACCACTACACTACCAGGAGTCACATATGTTGTTGTTTTTGTTAAGTGCTGTCGAGTCAGTTCCAACTCGTAGTGTTTTCCTGAGAATGACGAGTGAGCGCGAATCACCAATCTTGCAGTTCAAAACGATCATGCGGTCCACTGCATTATCCTACAGCACGCCACACCAGGAGGACTCCCATATGAGGGGTCTTCAAAAGTTCAGGGAAAAGCAGAATAAAAAGATAATTCCATTTTCCACACAAAGACAATTAAACATAGTTTTTAATTCCATTTTTTCCATGCATTTTCTGAAGTCTCCTCATACAGCGGGTGTAAATGAGTCATTTTGTTCTGAATTTACCCAATTCTGATGAATGAATGAATGTGGCAAAATTCACTGGGGCATAATCAGACAAAACTGGGGCTCTGAACCCTCTCAGGAATCTATGATGTTTTATAAATATAAATGTTTGCCAACAACAGTCTGTAAGACCATTTATGAGAACAGGCAGAAATGACTGA